CTGAAAGTTTTCCCACATTCACTGCATACATAAGGCCTCTCCCCTGTGTGCATTCTCTGATGCCCTATAAGGTGTGAGCTGTGACTGAAAGTTTTCCCACATTCACTGCATACATAAGGCCTCTCTCCTGTGTGGATTCTCTGATGCCCAGTAAGGTGAGAGCTGTGAGTGAAGCTTTTCCCACACTCAGGGCATTCATAGGGCCTCTCCCCTGTGTGGATTCTCTGATGTTTAGAAAAGGCTGATCTGTGAGTGAAGCTTTTCCCACACTCACTGCATTCATAGGGCCTCTCGCCTGTGTGGATTCTCTCATGATGAAGAACAAGGCTTGATCTTTGAGTGAAGGTTTTCCCACATTCACTGCATACATAGGGCCTCTCTCCTGTGTGGATTCTCTGATGCCCAGTAAGGTGAGAGCTGTGAGTGAAGCTTTTCCCACACTCAGGGCATTCATAGGGCCTCTCCCCTGTGTGGATTCTCTGATGTTTAGAAAAGGCTGATCTGTGAGTGAAGCTTTTCCCACACTCACTGCATTCATAGGGCCTCTCCCCTGTGTGGATTCTCTGATGGTTAGAAAGGCCTGAGCTGCTAATGAAACTTTTCCCACACTCATGGCATTCGTAGGGCCTCTCCCCTGTGTGGATTCTCTGATGGTGAAAAAGGACTGATCTGTAAGCGAAGTTTTTCCCACACTCATGGCATTCATAGGGCCGCTCCCCTGTGTGGATTCTCTGATGGTTAGAAAGGGATGAGCTGCTAATGAAGTTTTTCCCACACTCACGGCATTCATAGGGCCTCTCCCCTGTGTGGATTCTCTGATGTTTAGAAAGGACTGAGCTGTGAGTGAACCTTTTCCCACACTCACGGCATTCATAGGGCCTCTCCCCTGTGTGGATTCTCTGATGGTTAGAAAGGGCTGATCTGCTAATGAAGTTTTTCCCACACTCACGGCATTCATAGGGCCTCTCCCCTGTGTGGATTCTCTGATGTATAGAAAGGGCTGATCTTTTAGTGAAGCATTTTCCACACCCACTGCATGTATTTTTCCTCTTTCCCATGAGGATTTCCTGCTGTGTTGTGGTTTCCTTGACACTCTTCTGATTTCCCCAACAGGAAATAAATTTACCCACTTTCTCCCCTGAGTGGTGTCCTTGCTCTCTTTCTGGTCTGTGCTGAATCTCACAGGATTTTTCCTTCTCATAACTCCTGGACACATTCCTTTTTGATCTTTGTGATAATGCTCTGTGTTTATCCACTTGCTCAACGTTTTCCTGCTGAGAATTCTGCTCCTCTTTCTCACATACCATTGCATCACCTGCTGTGATAGAGACAAAAACCTCAAACAGGGATGGAAAGGGGAAGGCCAAACCAAAACAAGTGCTGGAGAGAGGTCAAATAAAAACAGGAAATGAACTCTTCCAAATTCTTCCCCTAAATAGGAGAGAGGAGGGGATCATTTTGGCTTTCACATCCCATCCAACTTCACAGGGGGAAGGGAGGAAGCTACTGCCTGGTGTCTGCTAGGATCTACAGGAAGCCATGAGCTATATTTACCCTGAGGATACAATCCCGCTAGGGACAATAATGAACTGAGAGAAGTCCCAAAGGCTTTGTAGGACATCCCAGATGTTTCTTTCAGGCACTTACAGATTCTGAGTTGGTTTAATGTTTCCTCATCTGTGCAGGGAGCTCTCAGGATCTCTCTTTCCTCTGAATTCTGGAGGTCTGGGACCCATGGCTCTTCCCCTTGTTCCAGCTGGGAGATCACATCAGATTTGAAAACTAGAAACCCTGCTCAGATGAAAGAAAACAAAGGAGTTCAGTTGATTTCATACGACTGTGTCATAAAAAACACTATTAATTTAACTTCAGTACTTAGCGTGACCTGGTGTGCCTGGGGCAGTCCTCAGTGAAAATGCCAAGATCAGGGTAGGCTGAAAAAGGCAGAGCAGATGCTCCCCAAACTGGTGGTAAACACTGAAGTTAAATTCACCGACCACTCACAAACTGTGCTTCTGATCCCCCACGCTGGTTATCGAGAAACTGAAAAAAGAAATCACAGCCCCCTTTATTGCATTGCACTTCTCTGACTCCCAATCAGCACCTAGGTCCAGTACAGTGAGAGGTTATTTAAAAACTCTGCTCATATAAACACAGTGTTCTTCTGACCTCAGAGTCAGCCACATTACCAGGTCACTATAGGTTTGGATCTTACCCAAAATACTATGATGCCAGTCAATCCTTTAGAATCTAAACTAAAGGTTTATAAGACAGAAAGCAAGAAAGCATCCAAAAGGTTTATTATATAAGAAAGAAAGAAAGAAAGAAAGAAAGAAAGAAAGAAAGAAA